CCCCCCCCCCCCCATGGATGCTGGGAAAAATCAATTTCGTCTTTTCAATCTCGTCGTTTGATTTTTTTAAATACCTCGTGCAGCATTTTGTACGAATGTTCCAAGTTCTGCGAATGTTGCAAATTAAATGTTGAAGTTAATTCCAATGTGTTGAACTTGGGGGAGCGTTTGCTTAAACGTTTACGATAAAAATGCTGTTTATAGATCAGGGCGTCATACAGCTCGACTGTCGTAGCTCTTTCTCTCTCTCCCGTGCTCTCTCTCTCTCTCTCTCTCTCTCGTTCTTCAAATTTATTGTCTCTCATTTCAAGGAGCAGAGTTTCCCCTGCAGGAGACAGAGTTTTGCCGCAGGTGGTACGGCCCACGAACGGAGCGGCGCGTATGCGTGGCGTTTTCGCATCTCATAATGTCGTCGCTGACCGGTTCGGGCCCCACCGCGTCCTCCACCGATTCACCGTGGGAATGAAGCTTTCAATTAGCTACGACGGTCACGGGCTAACGATTGAGCGGCGATCGATCGATCACCCTGATATGCTAGGGAATTAGTCTCCGACCTTCGAATAAATCCCGAAAATATAACGCGTTTTCCTACCTGGAATGCTAAAGAGTACATAGGAATTTTTTCGTGAAATTTAAAATATCTGCAGCCTGCAATCTGTTTTCAGTTCGCGAGATCCTAATTCTTTATTCAATAAAAAATTTTCACGAGATATCTGATCGAGAATGTATCAATTGTTCCGTTTTTCTCATGTTTAAGGAAAAAATCTGCGCTCGAATTTTCCCACGCGAATCATGAATAGTTGTGTATGCGTGTATATATATGTATAAATGTATATATATATATCTTTATTTAATATTTTGTATATATGTTATAGTCAAAGTGTTAATTTTAATAAATGGATACACTGACTGCAGCAGACTAAGTGTATACATTTACTGAGTTAACACTTTGATTGTGACATATACACTCGGGAAAAAATGTTGTATATATATTGATATATTTTATATATAATTATATATAATTGTATATAAAATATGTCAATTTTTTATATAATTATATATAATTTTATGTGATTTTATATAATTATACATAATTATATGCGAAACATTTTTTCCCGGGCATATATATATAATACAATTTTTATGTTTTATCAAGATTATTCCACGGAAATGGCCTCTGTTATCTACCAAAGAGCCTATCAACGAAGATCCTGAGCAATACAATGCGCAGAAATTTCGGCATCCAAACTGTATGAAAATCAAGGCGTGTACGTCGATATCGAAACAGATCTATTTGGGGGACAGATTTTTACCCTCCCGACGTGGTTATAATTTCGATATGGCTCATTATCTGTTAATGAAGGAGAAATCAACAGAGAAAACGAATATAATAGACGTTTGTAAAGAGGTACGAATATACAAAACAATATCCATTTATGATTCCAATTGCGTAACCGTATTTTGATTCTCTTAAAAAACAGGTTGATTCGCTGGATACTACATATCGACGTAAGGCTTTGCGTGCGATAATGTTAGAACAGGTTTTAATACCAGGTAATGTTTGATTATAATAAAATGTATATATATCCAGTTAATATATAATCGTTCTAGTTAATAAAGCTAATTAATACAAAAGTATACATTCGCCTATAATAATTTTTCTGTTTATTGTTTTGTATTTTGTAGCTTCTAGATAAAAAGAATTCTAAAAGCCACTTTAGGCGATCTATATATATATATATATATACATTTAAATTTTTCAAACGTTTCTCACATTACAGGGACATCTAAAATTATGAACAGAATTACAACATACAAAACTAATAATTTCTATTCATTATTATATATGACAAAAATAATATCCTGAAAGAGCAAATTATAGATTGTTTGACATTATCTAAAGAAACACTAGTTGCTTAGGATTTTTAAATGTATTTTCGTCTTTTAAACATATGATGAATGAATAAAATCGAAAAATATGCTTCTCGATAGAATTAGATCAAGACAAGATTTTACGCTTTAGCAGCTCGATGATGCGACGACCTCGGAATCCGCGTTCGGAATACGAGAAGACAGATGGTTGGAAGTGCATACCCCGCAAGAGGATCCTGATAGGAAGTGCGGAAAAGATGTTGTCTGTGCCGGAAGATGTAGCCCTTTTGCAGGGTACGTCGCAATTGGTTCAAAGTAATTCAGATTTACCTGTTAAATTCGTATCTCTTAGATGACTTCTGATATTGAAGGGAATATTATTATGGCGATGGATTGGAGCTGCAATAACATGTTGGCCGTGTCCTACAATGATTGCCTGATTATATATGATAATGACGGTGAAAGGGTGTCATCCAGTGTCATCAGATGTAATTCGGTAACTTATGATATCAATCAAATCACCGACATTAAATGGGCCAGTGACGGTGAGTGTAATATCAAAAAGGATGGGAAACAGCGTAACAAGTAACTTGTTATCCTTCAATACAAAGCGTGACACGTGTCGTACAAACAATGATTGTTTCGAATAATTTGATACTGGCAAGTCTATGCGATAATTACAATACTCTTTTTACAAGTTATACATTTTTTATATCACGTTTTAACGTTGAAAAAAAAGTTCAGCAGTTGTAACAGCAAAAATGATGTTTTGTTGCATCATTAAGGTCTGTTGAGAGACATGTAGAAAATAATTATACAACATGTCCCATTCTAATTAAGATAATAAACACAAATCATCCATGTCATTTTAGGCAAAAAATTGATAATGTCTGTCCTCATTCCTGAAAACGACACCTCGACGCTCGTGATGTACGATTTGAAAAAGCAAAAAATCTTGTGGGACGTCATGTGTAAATGTCGGTTGGAGGAAAAAGGCTGTGTTATGCGTTGCGTTTGCTGGTCAGCTTATGATCGTCAGATCGTTACGTAAATATCGATTTTATGATTAAAAACTATGGCACACAAAAAAACGTAAGGCAATAAGACGTAAGCAGTAAGTGAATCGGTCAATCGCAATAGAAATGTAAGGTAATAACGTAAACAGTAGTAAATCTAAAGCTCATTCTATAATTGAGGCGTATAAATTGTAAGTGATTGTAGTTAAAAGAATTGACCATTTAGTCAAATATGAAGAGAATATTATAGGCCAATAAAATATTAATTTACTTACTGCTTAAATTTTTTTATGCGCTATAGTTTTAATTCTTTGAAAATTCTTTGTGGATATTAATTCCTTGTGATAGTAGAGTACGTACTAGATATCCTAATTATTTTTTTTCGAGCGTGCGGAACAAAAAGTTTTAGCTAAAGTACCTAGGATTATAATGCTATAAATAAAATGCATTTCAAATTCAATGTATCATAATTCATTACAGATTAGGCATTTAAAAAGATATATTTTTTTATCTTAATTTCATAACTTAAGTCCATTTATATATACTATTATTATATATATATATATAAATCGTAAGGTCATAATACGCTTATTTAGCATATTATGATCTGTAAATCGGATAATCGGAAATATAAACAAACAAAACCGTATTATAATAGACTATAATAATAAAATGATGTGTGAAAAATATAAATGAAAAATTTATAATGTTACATTTGCAGCGGATGCGCCGGCAAAATATCAATATTCGATCCTGACACGGGTATATTGCTGCACACCAGGCTCGAGCTTACGAGAGCCGAGATCCTGAACTTGAGTTTCTCGCCAAATTACAAGTATCTTGTATCGACCGGGGAGGACAAAATCGTCCGATTATTTTCCTGGTCGGAATTGACTCCTTGTTTCAATATCAGATTCTTTAAACCTGTAAAGGTAAGCCGGTGAAACGCTGTTCAATAATCTTCAATAATCTCATCATAATCTTCATTAAGCTAGAGAGATTTACTCACTCAATGTTACGAAAATAGTATTCAGATTTCATGATCGGTACACAGTTTAACAAATGTTAAACCATACACGAGTGTAACTCGAATTTTATTTCACGTATCTATAATTATTCAATATAATTAATAAGAATTTATAATAATTGCGAATGCAACACAGAAAAAAGAATTTTGCTAGAGTACCTAAAAATTTAGTTAGATACAGACTTGAAAATAATTTTGATGGGACTATCAAGATTCTTATGTAGAATTCTCAAATATAATGTACAATGCTGCAGAAAGTTTTGACATTCTAACAGCCAGTTTTAGTGCTCTATAATTATTTTGATAATCTAATACAATTTATTTTCAGAATTATATTTAGCTAAATTTTTAGACACTTCAGTAAAACCATTCTTTTTGCGCAAGTAAAAAGATGATGCTTTAAATAATTTTCTGTAAAGTAAATTCGAGAATCCGCCTACTTTGAATGTTGCTCATAATTATAAATTGATATTAATTTTTATCTTACGGTTATCTTCAACTACCGATACTATTCTATACAAATCACATTTTATCAAGGATAAGTGGAATGTAAAAACGTTTATATTCGACAGGCGGTCGCTTGGCACCCGCAAGTATCCGGCTTGCTTTGTATAGGTGGAAGGAAGAACGGATCGCTGTCATTATGGAATGTCAACAAGTGTGCGATGACAGCCTTTGTGCGCGTCAAATTCAATGGTCGCGTGGAAAATCTCGCCTGGAATAAGTTAAGTGGCGAGTTGGTCGTACATTGGACTTACAAGGAAGAGGACAACATATACACCATTGTCGCAGTGCTCGCCAGTTTTAATCGGATTGTCGACGTGCTGCCATTGGATAAAGAAATGCGGCTTTGCTTCTTGAAGTTCAATGCCGCGCACGAACAACTAAGTACGTAAATCTTATTTTCTTTTTTTTGTTTTTTTTTTTAAATAAATAATTTAGTTTAGTTTATAGAAGTCCACAAGGTCATAGTACATTTTAATAAATTGCCAACAATTTAATGAGTTTGCGTAAAAGTTTTCTAGAAGTGTTCGACTTTAAAATTTCTCGGAGGATATTATTTCCTTACTATGAAAATAAAATTGGATTCTTTTTCCACATGGAAAAAGGCATACTTTATTATTAAAAGTAAATAATAATTTGTTCAAAAATTAAAATTGATAAAAATTTTTTGTGTCGTGTTTACAATTAATAACAAAATAATCAAGACAAGAAAATATGCAGACATTATTGTACAAATTGAAATATTATATAAAAAATAATTAATTCAAGGAATTAATTTATTAAATACTTTAATTTAGATTGAAATCTCCTTTAAAAAAAAAAATAGTAGATAATCAATGAAATTAAAGTCTTAAAACTCTTAAAAATCGCTTTTATATAATGTTAGGCAAAATAATAAATCTTGAACTCACAATTTATTTTTTAGAGATGATTATTTCTTAAGTGTTACTTTAATATTTGAAAAGATCTTGAAATCCTGATTTCCCCTTGTATACTTGGTAAACTTTCTAAGGCTTAAATTTATATATATATATAATAAATTTTATTAGTAACGCACCGGTTGTTATAATTTTTCGAGTAATACGGCAATGGGCCACAATGGTAAGTGCAATTTTCTTATAATTTTTCTCAATTTCTCTTTCTTTTTTGCCTAATTGTGTATTTTTCAAAACACGTTGCTTCTTGTCCAATGCGTTACAGATGGACGATTTTATTCTTTGATTTATCAATCGTTTATGCATCGAATTTGTCACTCAGGGTTTACGATTTCTTTTAACTAAATTACTTCTAATTGGTGAGTAATGTTGCTTCTCTAAATAGATTTTGACTGTTATGCCAACCTTCTTGCGTTGAAATTTTCAACATTAAACTGACATTACAATTTAAATTTGCTTGCGCTGGCTTGATAATATTATAAAAATTGAGAGGACGGAATTTTTATTTTGCTCGACTCGTTTTATACAAGCGATTTTTAAAACTTTGACTTTAATAATGTTATATAATTTGTTTTGCATTGGATGGATTCCAATTTTAATCAAAACTAATAAATTAATATAAATTAACTAAGTATTTCGCATACTGTTATACATATATCTTGTTCATTGTTTCTTATCATTCTTGGTGATTTGAACATTGTGTGTGTGTGTGTGTGTGTGTGTGTGTGTGTGTGAGACTATTATTAATTTTAATATTATTTATCCAAATTATTATTATTATTAAAAATAATGTAATCTGATTATTCCCATCTATGTCACAATAATACGAATTTAATATTATAATATTCGTTAACAATTTTCTAACGGAAATTCAAAATCTTTCTTTGTTCTTGTCAGTCTGTTGACTTTTCGCTTTCGATCGATTCCATTTTATAAACAAACATAGAAGCTCTTCTAAACAATGAGAAAGAAAAGACGAAATGAAAATTTGTTTACGTACAGAATTCGTTATATTAGGTGTTGAACTTAATTCCTGCCGCTTGCTACTAGAGGGTGCTTCAACTGCTGGCGAGTTTCGACGATGAAGTTATATCACATATGTCTTTCGTAGTTCAGACATCGCTGAAAGTGATTCAATCCTCACAGGTTAGATTTCTCGACGCCAAAGAGATTTTCCAATCGATTGAAAATGAATCGCGATAAGCTGTTTTTCCGACATGTGCTTCTTCACTACTTCGACCTCAAGAAAACCGTAGCTAAAGCGCATCGCTTATTATCCGAAGTGTATGGTGATGAAACTCCATCGGAAAGTACATGTGCAGTTTGGTTTGAACGCTTCCGAAACGGTGATTTTAATGTGAGAGACAAAGAACGGAAAAAATTTGAAGATGCCGAGCTGCAAGAATTGCTTGATGAGAATCCAGTTCAAACGCTTTTAGAGTTGTCGAAACAGTTAAATGTTGCTCGAACGACCGTCTCAAGACGCTTGCATACCATGGGAAAGATCCATAAGGAAGGGAGATGGCTACCACATGAGTTGTCAGAAAGTGCCATTTCAAATCGTTTGACTATTGCGACTTCTTTGCTTACCAGGCAAAAAAAAAAGAGTTTTTTGTGTCGCATCGTGACTGGCGATGAAAAATGGATTTATTTTGATAATCCCAAGCGGAAAAAATCATGGGTGGACCCCGGCCAATCATCCGCTTCAACGCCGAAGAGGAATATTCACGGGCATAAGACTTTGCTGTGCGTTTGGTGGGACCAGGAAGGTATACTGTATTATGAACTCTTGGGTCCAAATGAAACCGTTACAGCTGATCGCTACAAACAGCAATTATACCGATTGAATGACGAATTGATGCAAAAAAGATCATCCGTAGTCAACAATCAACGCAAAGTCATTTTGTTGCATGATAACGCTCAACTGCATGTCGTGAAAAGCGTGAAGCAGGCACTTCTAGAGTTTGAATGGGAAGTTCTCCCGCATCCAGCGTACTCTTCAGACTTGGCACCGTCGGATTACTATCTCTTCCGATGGATGCAACACGCACTTACGGATACACACTTCTCCAGTCATAACGAAGTCCAAAAATGGGTGGATGAATGGATCGCCTCGAAAGACACTGAATTCTACCGTCGTGGGATTGCCCTGTTGCCAGAGAGATGGGAAAAAGTAGTAGAAAATGGAGGAAATTACTTTGATAAGGTATTCATTCATCTCCCCTTCGAAACAAATCAATTTTGGAGACGAAAAAACGGCAGGAATTAAGTTCAATACCTAATTTCACTTTACATACAATTTTTGAAATTATCTAAAATTTTGCTATTATTATTCAGTTACTATAAAACTATTTTTTATTCCAAAAACATTAGTTAAAAAATTTTTTTTTAAATTGGCTAATTACATCACGTATAATTACGAATAATTAAATTTTTTAAACACACTCGCATTTTGTATGACGTTAAAAAGAGCGAAGAAAGATGTATGATATAGACAGATTAAAATATAAGAAAATAATGTTTTTATTTTCAATGTTTTTGTTTAATTTAAACTATAATATATATTTAAAGATGTAAGATGTAAGATAGTTTATTTAATATTGTCATTCGAAATACATAGTTTTTCTTTTCAAAACACTTCTTTAAACTATTACTCAAGTTAGATGTTTGTTACAGTAACATTTTGCTGCAATATGAATGTCTACTCAATATGGAATTTTTTTGGCCACGAGAAATCATTTCGAAGACGACACATGTCTCACGACAGTTCTACACACCGGAAACAAGGAGTCATGGTCCGTAATCCGATTCGATAATTACTCATTTATTTCAAAAACTTTGGACAATCTATAATTCGCGATATGTATCATGAATAGAACGTTTATCATTGGCATCGATACGTACGATTGATAGATCCATATTGGTAATTCTGTGAATTCATACTATCAAATATTAACATCTTCGTCAGCTTCCTCGAGCATAACAGACTTGAAGACGTCTTTCGTATTGACATCATCAATCTCAAAATATTTAAAGACGCCCATAATGGCATATCTAATAGTAGTTGCTCCAGTCTGTTATTCACATATATGTCAATCTCATTATAATTATACTTGTATCCCGTATTTGAATACCATATGATATTGCCAAATCGAAAAATGGAGATTGTAATTTTTGATTGATTTAGTTGTATTGATCCTGGGTTCGTGATTTTCAATTGATTAATTGATTGTTTAATACGAAGCTACAGGTTTGGCAAGCAAATTTCTACTTTATCAGTTATTTTCGAATAGTTATATTTGCTATAATTTTAAGTCGATATCTAAGGATATTCGTTCTTTTAACTTTATCGCAGAGATTCTTCAAATCTTTTGAAGATTCTTCTTTCTTCCAAAATTTGTCATATCAAATCCTTATGACAACAAGAGTATTAAAGGAGTTTTCAAGAGATTTTAAAATAATCTCTCAAGGAAATATATATATATGAGGAGCAAACTTTCAAAAAGCGTTTTGTCCAAAGTTTCATTTTTTTAGTTATAAGAAATGGCATAGTGTTCAGTGCTGAAAAACTCATATTATAAGTTACTCTGAGATGTTCAGGAAGCATTTTTTCATCGTTAATTTATATGCTGAAAAAATATTTCAAAGTGCATTATGTATTTTAACTAAAGACAAACAAAATGTATTTGTTTAACACTTTTAGTAATTTTGTTTAATATTTTTAATTGTTTAGCAATTTTATTTAATATTTTTAAGTGTTTAACAATTTTGTTTAATAGATATTTCATATCGTATACTGATTGATATATTGTTATTTTATATAAACTGCGTAGTTTTCTTGTGTGCGTAGTTTCTTTCTTTCTCGTTTTCTGAAAATTATAAATTTTAGACAAAACGCATTTTGAAAGTCTGCTCCTCAAATATCTCTGTACTATAGATCTCTTTTGTATGTCTTATATTATCGAATGATTCTGATAACTGTTATTGAACTTCTCGGCGAGATCACCTTTTCCTCTGTGTCAAACTTTGAAATACTAACGAATTTGAATGAGTTGACATATTTCGTGGCATCCCTATGTTTATGTACAAATTTAACAAAATTTTATAACAAATGTTTGTAACCCTAAAAATGTTAATTTTTAAATATATATTGAGAAAATTATTTTTTTAACTTTTTTTAAATATAAATATAAATTTTTAACGTATTTATTTTTTGCTTACAAAAAGATATTGATTCAGAATTAGAGAAAACGTTAAATTTTATGATCGGTATTACACTGGCGAAATAGCATATCAAAATGTATGTATATTAGTGAAAATTTATGTGGCGTCATCAGATATGGTAGGCGCAAAATTACAAACAAGTACCGTAGGTTTATTATTAAGTGATCATCACTGCCGCAATTAACACGACGCATAGCGCAGATAATTGCAATTCGCTAAATCTAATGGCGCTAAGAAGCCATTCAAAAGCGTTAATTTAGCGACGATCGTAAAATGTAATTTCGTACCGAGCTGTGAACAGTCGACTTATCAATAGGTCGGCAACAGCCCGCATTTTGATATGCAAGGAAGATTCACGTTGACACCCGATATATCGCTTGGGAAAAAACTGTGCTTAGGTAGCCCAGTCAGCTTTTCAGATTCCATCAAAATTATTACGCTCAATGAAACGTACAATGATTTAGTGCATAATTAAATAAAAATTGAAGGAGAGAAACAATGTTGAATATTTTATAGTATTATATAATGTTGCATCGTGCTTGTAATATTTTTATCATGGTGTTTTGATTTTATTTCACGCAAGTATCAGATTGTTGCCTTAACAATGTTGTTAAGACAAAATCTATGATTTCCTGCGTTAAAAACTTCCGCCAAAAATAACGAAATAGATTTATATTAGTTTTCATTAACATAATTAAAAATTATGGAATTTAAAAAAGCATTTGGGCATCGATCTTTCGACGCGACAGGTTTTATTTAAATTTCCTTTAATCTCATCTTCTTATCGTAATTTTTGCTGTTGCTAATATCAATTTTTTTATTTTATTTGGCCACACAGTAAGCAATTATCTTGTTGTTTGTATTATGTTGTAACCTGTTTAGTTAGAAAATATACTTTATTCTGATTGATTTCATCGAAGACAATAGCATATCATTGAAATTTATTAAAGGTTAAATTATAGTTAATTAATTGAATTTGCATTGCGAATAACTTGATTCGCTTTCAGAATCTTACCGGTTATGTATACAGAATTTTAGATACTATTGTATTAATTTGATGCTCAATCGTATAATTAAATCTCAGGTATACCTTAGGTATGTTATTGTTAATATTTATTGTAAAAACATGGATTTTTTGGATATAAAACTTTCTATATATAAATAATATTATAAGCAGAATACAACACCAAAAAAATTTTCTATATATTTATACAATATTATACAATATTTTAAGAAAATCAAATATCTTTTTAAAGTGGTTACTCGAATCGATTTTTCTTCAGCGAAAGAATATCATGAAGCAATGATAATAATAATATATTATTGGAGATATACAGGGTGTCTCATAACTACAGCATTTACTATTAAGTACATATTCTTGAGGTAATTTTGAGAAGAAAATCCTAATATGAAAATATCGAAACTACAATAATTTTTCGAATTGAAGGGATGGCGCACAACTTCTGTAATTGAAGGGATGGGCGGAATAAAGGCACAATTCTACTTAGGCCCTTTTTCGAGCAATTAACTTTTTCATATAATATTGATTGTAATAGAGAAGATTTATAACATGTAACTTCTTAAAAAAAGACATATAAATTTATTTAATATTTTATCCATTTATGTATAATAAAAAAAGTAGCAAGTTATTTTAATTTTTATTTATATCAAAATTTTGTAATTAAGCTTTTATTCCGCCCATCCGCTCAATTATAAGCTAATTTTAAATGCTTATAAGTCAAACACCATTTTACTTTTATAGCCTTTATTATTATTTCTGGATACTTTTGATTCCATTCTAAGACGAAAATTCTAATACGAAAATATGGAGGCTATAATAGTTTTCGAATTACATACTATCTTTTAATCAATTATAATTCAAAAACTATTGTAGTCTCGACATTTTTGTATTAAGATTTTCATCTCAAAATTACCTCAAGAATACGTTCTTAAGAGAAAATATGGTAGTTGTGAGATATCCCCCCTGTATATTACTAATGTAATACATATAGTTATTATTAATATAAATCTATATTATATTACCATATAAATATATTATTATTAATTTCGAAATTATAAGCAATAAAATATAAATTTTTCAGTAATTAGTTTTGGAAAAAAATTCATCTTAACGAACTTCTGGATTGAAGTTTATGTAATAACATTAAACATGGAAAAATTGTGTACTTTCTCCAAAGAAAAATTAAATTAAATTAATAGAATAAAATATAAAGATATAAATTATATTATTATATTTTAAATTGTTATAAGAGATGGAATTGTCTACTAATTCAAGTTGGACAAAAAATATGTCGTTAAAAAGATATTCTGATTCTTATAATATTATCACTTTATTACTGTCTGTAATATTATAGTTAATATATAAGAGTTTTATATTTTTATTTTACTTTATTATTTTCATATAATTAAAGTAAAACGTCATATTCTATTTATATTATACATCAAGTTTGCGGATTATCTTTATATCTTGATACATTGTTAAAAGCTTGTTTGAAAAAATACTCGTAGAAGTGTCAACAGTATTATTGTACAATAAGTTTAATATTTGTATTATTGTTGCAAACTGTATATTTTAATAATTGTATTATTATAATATACTATTATATGTAATATAATAATAATATAATATAATTAAAGAAGATGATTGTGATGTTAAAAATTGGAAAACTACAAAAAATCGTTGTTCTCATTTGAGATTCTCAAAAAATAAAAAAAACAATTTTATGGAAATATCTAAAAATTCAGTTAGTCGCGCGCGCGCGCACAAATCTGAAAAGTTTTATTGGATCATCAAAATAATTATATAGGATTCAAACATAGTAATGCTGTAACAAATTTTATATTTTAACGATCAACTTGTGCGTTCTACATAATAATTTTAATAGTTTACCAAAATTATGTTTAAATCTGTATTTAATTAAACTTTTAGATATTTTTAACAAAACTTCTCTCTGTGTACGTCGACCAAAAATTTTTTCTTTAGTTTGACGAATATTCAAATCTCTCGTGAATCTGTTTAACATCCTTCATCGACATCTCCCGTGTTTCGTAGAGCACGCACACCTGGACGCGTGGACGCATCAATGACCGTGCGCACGCTGGCTATCGACGATGTTGCACGTCCCGGCTCGTCCAGCCACCCACACGCGAACACCCGCTGATACACGTGACGGGGGAGAGAGAGAGAAGAAGAGAAAGGGGAAGGAGGAATACACGCGAAGGAACACGCGACACGCCACGGAGAACACGCGCAATTTCGCAACGCGCGAAGAATGCCGCGAGTGCAGCTGTGGGTCGTTCGCTCTTCGCTCGCTCCTCGCTCGCTCGCTCGCCTGACCGTTCGCTCCTCGGCATCCGGATTCCAACGTGAGGAAACCCCGAGCGAATCGGATAGAAACCGCCGCGCGCCGCGCCGAGCCGAAGAAGATCAGATCGGAGCTCGCGAGGGACAGTAATCTTCCGAATTCGACCATCCGCGTTTGCTCGCGGGGAGAGAACGAGAGAGAGAGAGAGAGAGAGAGGGGGAGAAAACAAGAGGACCCGAGGAGAAGCCGGAATTCGGTAGTAACGG